TATTTTTTATTTTAAATTTAATTAGGTCTCGAATTAGATTTAATTAAGGTAATTTGATTTAGGTTTAAATTAATTAGATTGATTAATTTTTTTATTTCTAATTTTATTTATATTTTATTTTTTAATTATTTGTTATTTAATATTTAATTATGTTTGAATTAGGGTTAATTTAATTATTTTATTGATAATTGTTGAAGTGTGCTCGAGATATGCCTAGTGTATCGAACCCGATGGGTCAAAGACCTCCAAAAATCGAGAAGAAATAAGATTGGTTCAATACTTTGCTATTAAACAAGGAGAACGAGTTTGGAAATTAATTTCAATAGAATGTTTAAGGCAAGTACTAGTCTCGATGTGCCTAAATTGATTGTTTGTTGATGTTTATGTTATCATGGTTAATTAAAAATGTTTACATGTGTTTTGTATTTTAGATGTAGTTTTTTTATTATTATTTAGAGTATCCGGTAATTGGAAAAAGGTACAATTTACAAGAGAGATTTTGTTGAAATTTTATTAGATGTTTTAAAAATTATTAATTAAATAATTATTAATTAAATAATTATATGTTGCTTCGTAAATATAGAAACAAAATAATAAGGTCCGATCGTGCATAAATGAATGTTAGGTTAATCAATAGGTATTTAAAGGATGATTTTGTGAATGGGTTTGAAGAATTTACTACATTTGCTCGTTACCCATCCCGAATGTATGGACGAAAAAAAGTTAAAGTGTCCTTATAATCCCCGTAAGTATCGGAACCAAAATTTTGAAGAGGTTATTTATCATGGTTTACCCAAACTTATATATATTATAAATAACATATCAACATGTATTTTAAAATAGTCTCAAAATAAAATCATTCCAAATAAAGTTTTTTACTCTTTTAAATCAAAAAAATCATTTATAAGGGAATTTATAATAAAACTTTGAGCAATTTCTTTTTCAATATATGCTAACAAACAATCGAAAAGAAAGTCATCTTCCATTTTGTTATGAAACTTAGTCTTGACTATGTTCATAACTAAAAATGACTACTTCGTGGTAGCCGTAAAAACTAGAAGAGTAAGAATAAGTGTTATCACTCTATACATAAGTAAATAACTTTTAAAATTTCTTATCTTTATCAACCATTGACAAAAATCAAATATAATAGACAATGTTTCGAAATCGGAAGATTTCGTCCATGATCAAAATGCTTAAATTGCATAATTAATTACGGTATTTCATGATCAATAAAGTTTTAGGGTAAAATTTCTGAACTAACTTACAAATGTCTTCAATCTTAAATGATATACGCATCTCTCTAGGATCTAAAGTCGAACTAAGAATGAGTAGCTCTATCGTATGATCATTGAATCTACTATTTAGTTCTTATAATTGAGAATTTATCACAGCATTGAATATGTCAACTTTGTAATGATGCTCAATTGTAATTGAATCTTGTTGATGACAAGCCCTTACTTTTCTTGTAACATAATGAGCACTCGTGTCCGGTATAGTTATGTCGACTACTTCACAAAAAGATTTTGTTTTTGAAATTAATTCATCCCATCCTTCATCTCTTAATTTTTGAATGAGTAACCTAGTTGAAGAAACTAGATCCATTGTATTTAAAATATCCCGAGATTGAAGTTCTAAAGCTTGACAAAGTAAATCAAATATATCTAAAATTTTTCTCATAAGATGCATAATTAAAACAAATTCAACAAAAGTTAATCCGTCATAAGCTACATCCGCATCTCCATATTGAGTAGTTGTAGCTCCATCTTCAATAATATTCAGTAAAATTTCACAAGTCACACTAAACATATTCATCAAGCTAGAAACAGATTTTAGATGAGAACTCTAATGAGTATTCCCGACCACTTGTAAACCACCAACTTGATTAAGCCATCTTCCACCTTCAAGTTCATCAATGGAAAGTAAATAAACAATATTTGCATTATGAACGACTTTCTATTAGTCATTATGCTTATATGAAGCACCAATAATAATAATGATGGAGTTCAATTTGGTGAGAAACAATGATGGATAGGGATAACTTCCTTTGATGCGATAACTAATGCCAACTCGTAAGCAATGAGCCAAGCAATGAACATAGTATGCAAAAGAGCATTCATTTGAAATCGTAGCTTGCAACCCATTCCATTCCCCTCGCATATTGCTTACACCATCATAACCCCGTCCTCCGATATTCCGAACATCAAGACTATAACGAGAGAGAATAGAAAATATTTTTTCTTTCAATGTTAATTTAGTAGTATCTTTTACTTAAAAAAAGCTTAAAAAAAAACTCTATCACATATCTATTTTTGTCAAAAAAAATCTCAATACAATAGCCATTTGCTCCTTTTCGATTCATCTCAAGCTTCATCAATAATTATACAAAATTTTACATCAATAATTTCTTCACGAGATAATATTCTTGACTTTAGTTATCAAGACTTGTAAAATTTTCTTTTACATTCTTAGTGATGTGTATGAGGTATTTTATGGAGTTTTACTCAATACTTTTTTACCCTATCATTATAAGATGCCATGAAACTCAATAGTTCAATAAAATTTTCATGATTCACCGATGATTTGTTCTCATCATGACCTTTAAATGTGCATTCTTAAAATGCAAGCCATCAAGTTACATCAATTGAAGCTTTCAATCGAAGTTGATTGTATGTAATTAGTTGAGAAGTAAATTTCATAAACTTTTTCTCAATATGCAAATGTTGATTCTTGAGATCCCGACATGCTTTCTTAGCATTTTTGTGAGGAGAAGTGTGATCTTTTCCATAATGCGTTAAGAATGCATAATTTTTACCATCTCTAACTTTCTTTAATGACCGAAATCTATTAATAGTGAATGCATTTGATCCAAAAGATCCATTTGGTGTGTGAAATAAATAGCATGATAGACAAAATGCAACATCTTTGGTCGAGAGAATATTCTAACCATTATGGAAATAATTTAAACCATGATGCTTAGAAACTATGAGGATGTTTTTCTTTAGATTTTAGATAATTTGAAAGCATATACTGATATGGATCGACATTGATATAAGCTCTTCAAGCTTCATCATGTTTGTCGACAAGGTACTCCTATATTTATGGTCGTAATCCCGAATCGCGTTCCAATGAATTGATATCAAATCCTTTTTTGATTTTAACTCTTCGAGATTTTATAGATGGATTTTAAGAATTCAAAGGATTAGGATCAATAGAAGAATTTGATTCCTCATTAGAGTTTGAAATGACAACATTCTTTCTTTTAAATAATGCATCGATGGTACGTGAATTTTTCATCTACGGTAAAAATAAATTACAAATATGAAAATGTAATAATTTCTAAAGTGAGATATGCAACAAATTATAAATTCACTTAAAATGCAAATAAAATATTCAAATTTTCAAACAAAATATATAAATAGACCACGACTCGAGTCTACCGAGAGCCACCCCTAGGCTCACTGGTATACGTATCTAAAAATATTAAGGATTATAGTAACACCGTACGCTCTACTAATAAGTTGGAATATATTTCAAAATAGTCACTTTAGTAGTATAGAACCTATAAAATATAAACAAGAAAAATCATTATTATTAATAAACAAACAATTGAGAATCCAAGTATATTAATCTAAATATGGTTGTGACTAAAATAATTGAATATATTTTTAATAACCATAAATGAAAGAAGAATAGTTATTTGTAAATTGCAATCCCGCATTCCTATTGTTACAACTAACAACTCCATTTTTTTTGGGTCTATAACTACAAGCACAACAACGGTACAAAATTTCCAAATCAATAGTACAATTTTAATTCAAGTAGATGGATTATCGAATTTTACTAAGCCATGAATTCGATAGATACCTTAATCACGTAAAATAAAATTGAGAGGACAACCAATCTAATATTTTTATTATAAAATATTATTTAAAAAAGAAAATTTGGAGTCGTCAATATTCAATCAATATATAAAATGAAAAACTTAATGAATTAATAATGTAAACAATATAATAAGAGTTAATAAATTACCGATTTTTGAAGAAAATACCTGTCGTATTATTGAATAAGAGAAATCTAGATCGGAGAGAGTTTTCTTTTTGGTGTTTTGATAGAGTGAGAGTTAAGGAAAATGGAAGAAGGAACAAGTTTAGTAGTGGTGGAAGGTAGCTGGAATCTAATTAAACAAATATTAAGAATTTAGTAGTGTGTTGGTGAGGGAACCGAGGGTAAAGGTTAAAAAATACTAAAAGAGGACTCGGGTTTGTCCTATGCTAGTATGGGAAAAAAAATAAAAAAAATCGGAGGGGGCTCGGGCCCTCGTAGCAGATCAACGTGTGTTCGTCACTAGGTTTAAAATTATTAAATTGCAATAGAATGAGAGCAAAATTTACCGCTGAAGCTATTTAGTTTTCAATTAGCATACAAAAGAAAAAATCACACAATAAAAACTAATCTCAAAACATAATTAAAAAAAATATATACATACAAAGACATTTTTCATACTAAATTTTCATTAAAAATGAATTTAAATAATTGATTTTCTATGACAAATGTAACCGTCACGTGTATTTATATTAGAATTTTATAAATTAAAAAAATGTTTGTATAGCATTACTCTTTTAAACAGGTAAATCTTTTCCTTCAGCGCAAATACAAATATGCTGGTTAATGGTTCAAACTACATCTCATTAGTCGTTATAAAGAAACTCAATAACGTGCCAAAATTTATAATCCAGTAAAGATTACATTTTTCTAATGAAAAAAGTTGCATAGCACGAAAGTTTTGAAACGAACATACACAGACAATAAATAGCCCAACAGTTAAATGAAATTACTTAGCTTGCCTGCCACTATATCGGTTCATGAACATTTCGTTACCATATTTTCGGGCGATGGTAATTACAATTTTATGCAATGTAACAAATACAGCATCACATTAACCTTATTATCCATTTTAGCCCCTCTTCTTTCACAAAGTTCAAAAACATCTTGCAGCATCAAATTAACCTTCCTATCCATTTTAGCCCCTCTTCTTTCACAAAGTTCAAAAACATCTTGCACTCCTCAATGGCACGTTCGTCGGCACCCGTTCTAACTATTGGCGGAAAGAATAGCCACATGGCTGTCACCACCACGAACCCCACCGTCAATGGCCCCGACACTGCCCAATGCAACTGCCATCTACTCCTAAAACGCCTCTTCAAAGCTAACTCCACAACCAAACACACCCCTTGTAGCACAAAGAACGACGTGACCTCCCATGAAGGGCTCGCACGTGTGACACGGTAAAATAGGAGCTCGTGCATGAGACCAGACACTAGGAAAGAAGCCAACATGGCCAGAAGTGGGGCCCACTTGGCTAACAAGGATCCCAGAGACGACCTCACGGGTTTGTATACAGTATGGCGCAGTAAATTTGTTACCATGAGGTTCCACCTTCTGCCCCAGAAATCTTGCAACGACGTTGAAAAATAAGGTTCATTGGAAGGTGGTTCTAGCTCCATGTGTAAAATGGCATGTACCATAGCATTAAACATACCAAAAATTATATCCACCAATAAGTATACCATGCAACAGTATAAAACAAGGACCAAATTCTGGTGAAACTTGCCCTTGTAATCATTCACACCAACTAAAATGGTGAAAAGCAAGACTTTCGTTGGCCAATTCAGAGGTAACTTATATTTAGGTGAGTTTTGGGGTGGCTCAGAAGATGGGTACTTTTCATTTTGCTTTATTTTGACGGGAAGGAGAGTTTTACAGATGAATTGAACTAGGGAGTTGGATCGGTCACATGAAAGGGGACCTTGATCAAAGGCAAAGAGGGCAAGCTTGAAATTGGCTAACCAAGAGATAAACAAGGTGGCAATAGCATTTGGAAATAGGTAGGAGAAACAGAGAGGAAGGGTTGTGAAGAGGAAGAAAACAGGAAGGAGAGATACGAGCCTAAACTTACCTTTTGGGATCTTGGATGATATGAAATGGCAGTAGATTAAAGATGCCAAGAGTGAGATAGATACCTTGATTAAGTTCTTGATTTCCACCTCCATGCTTGCCTGTTTATGTGTTTTTCCGTTTTTAACTTCTATTTTAATTGTATCTACACGAATGGTCTGTGATTTTGAGAGTGCCACAATGCCCTATGCTTTCTTTTTTTGACCGTCCACCCTGGCTGCCGGTCAATTTGGTATGCTGCTAACCTCGACGAAATATTTTAGGATTCTGCCGATTTTCTTGACCATGCATTTTCTCTCACACACAAAAAAAAAGTATGTGCAGCTACTTTCTAGTTGGAAAATTTCACTACGTGACCGATCCTAAATTATATATATACTGGATAAAGAAAATAATTTGTCAGTCTTTTGGTATAATACTCCGGTGTTTTATATAGGATATTTCTAAAGTGTACCGTAAAGTTACGGGCTAATTAAAATAAATGAAATATTTTAGGTTTTATAATCATCTATATTGAAATATGGATTAGAATTTCACTCAATTATGAAAGTGAATTATTCCATATATCAGTTAATGCGTACTCTTACGACACATCTTAGAAAATTCTTTATATATAAGTGTGTTAGATGTGTAAAAGTTTAAAATTTACTTTAAGTGCTTAAATCATTTTTTTTTTAACTTTAATCTAATAATTTTATTTTTTTTATTCGACACCAAAGAATATCTCTGAATTAAGTATATCAATCAAAATTAAATTTTTCATATGCGATTTCAATGGTGCTCTCTCTTTCCTACATTAATTTGATATATTCATAAGATAATTTTTTCTAAAATTGAACATAATCATATTAATTTTATTAACAATCAATATGTTCTTTTTAGAAAAGTATTGCAAGCTAAATATAGTCTAATATTAGTTTTTTTTATTTTTTTTGTCAAGAAAAATTCATCAAAGAAAAATTAAAAGTTCAAAATATTTCCATTACCTTTCTTTTAGTACAATGTGCTCTTTATATAGTCTAATATTAGTTTTTTTTTTACTATTATTAATGATATGTTACGAATCGGCAAAATATGTAAAACTATTTAAGAAAATCATTTCAGCTTTATGATTCGTGCGACACAATGGATCCACCAAAATATATCAAATAAACCGAAAAAAAAATCCATTCAATTTTATGATTTTTTTAATAAAAATTTTGTATATGACTAATTATTTCTTATGTTTTTTTTAATAATTTTTTTACTAAAAAAAACATGATTTATTCTTCTTTATCCATATTCTTAATTAAAAACTTTAATTATCTAAAAGAAAATTTATAAATCTATGGATTATTAACTAAAAACTTATTTTATAAATCTAAAGATTAAAAGTGTATTTTAGATAATTTATCTCATTTTTATATATATATATATATATATATATATATATATATATATATATTGATCATTCTAAAATTTTATTTAAAAATTCATACATAGAGAAAAATAAATCATATTTGTCAATAAAAAATCATACAAAATAAAAATTAAAAAAATTAATTGGATGGCAATCTCCATAAGAAATCACAAATTAAAGGAATAAATTTTAAATAAGAAGAGTAATATAATCCGAAATGTATGTTGATTTTAAAAATATGAAAATATATGATATATATTTCTTTCTTGTCTAGTTACATGTGAAATCCAAAAAATAGCAATTGATCTTTCATAATTTTCATCCAAAAATTCATAATAAAAATTAAAAATAAATAGATTACTCGTAAAAGAGAAAAGAATTGAGTTAGGGTGTAGGCTCGCGCATTTGGGGGCTGGAGAACCAGTCATGCACAACTTTGCTCTAAAAAAGAAAAGAAAAAAGAAACAAAATGGACGACACATTGTTTGCTTCCCGCATAACATATGATGTGTCATGCGTTTGCAATTTCCAACAATCTCAATTCGTCGAAAAAATGAGTTTTCGACCTTTGTAAAGCCAAATCTAGTATTGTTTTTATCCAAAACCCCTCGAAGTCACATAAATAAGGATAATAAAATCATTTAGAATTTTAGAATTTATTTTGATGCACACAAAACATATAACAATTCAAATTAAACTCAAAAAATTTAAAATATTTCGGGATCTTGATTACCTCTCGAACTATTTCATGAAGTGCAGTTATCATAAACAAACTCTCATCTCTAAGAGTAACAAATTAAAGCCAAGGTCAAGAGTCAAAGTGATCGAAATGAGCTTTTTCGTGACTTTCTCCGTCATGTTATTGTCTCTCTCCTCCCTATAAACAATGACTAAATTATGATATAAGTTCGATACCGAAATATAATTGTTTGAAAAAATTAAAGTGTAATATTGGCTAAACTTGCATATAAAATGATAAAAAATAACTTTAATTTATAAAAATATCATTGTACGATCACAAAATGTTTTTGAATGTATGTCCATAGTGATTTGTGAGATGAGAAATAGTGTATTTACAATGCTTTTCTCATTTCTTTTGGTATTATAGGCAATGTATGTATCCAATTGGAAGTAATTGATTGTAAATATTTTATTATCATTATTAAGAATGAATAATAATAATAATAAAAAAGCCGAATATGATGAATGAAACAGTGTTATTGTATAAGCATCTCCTAGAACAAACGAGCTCGATCTAACATCAAGAAGATTCCTACTAACCTTTATAATGTCACCACCTTCTTGAAACGCATAGTACGGACTCTCTCTCTCTCTCTCTCTCTTTCGACTAAGAAGGTACCATTGATAATTGTTGCGTAAGGCTTCATTGATTCTTTCTAATGTTTCTTCCAAATCCATAATTATGAGAGATGAAAGGAAAAATGAAGAGCTAGGCAAAAATAGAAAAACACTTGGAGAGAGATTTTAAATTAAAAATATAAAAACAATTAATATCATAAGAATTTTTGTTGATGTTCATTTATTTTCTTATCCGAGTTTCCTTGAAAACAATAATGTTTTATGTAAAATATCAAAAAAATTATAAATGTATTCTATTAAAAAAGATTTTTTTTTCATATTTAGACTCGCGTATTTTTTAATCTATTTTTTTAAAAATTTTGATTAAAACTTTTTGTTTTTCGAAATTATTTTTTCATATCCTCTATTATAATATCGTTTATTTTTTTGAGGTGCCATGCTATTTTTAAAAGTTACCTATCTATGATTGACACGTGACATTGGCATCCTAAAAAATATTTTCTTATCCGAATAAAAAAAATTAAAAAATAATACATAAAATTAAAAAAATAAAAAGGAAAATACCAAATCAACCCACCCCATTAATTCTCAACCCATTTGAAAAATATCATAAACGCAAGGATTAATCGTTCAAATTCCCATGAAAGAGTGTGGATTTTGTCACTTCAAGGATTGGAATCGATCTCGTGCGCACGTGCACACACACACACACACACGATTGGATTTTTGACGAGGGATGATCTTGCCACGAATTTTGTGGTAGAGAATTGTATAGCAATTTTGACGATGAATTGTAGGATAAAATTTTGCTTTTTGTTAAGATTTTCATGCTTTCAATTTGTCCTAGTTTTGCTTTTGTGGGTGTGATCTACATTGGATGGTTCCGGAAAATGTTTTTATTAGGGAATTAGTTCTTGTATGAGGCTATAGGTTTCATTTTAGGATAACATGCATTTTCAAAGAATTTTTGTACAAAAAATTATGCTATTCTCATCCAAGTCGGCTTTTTTTCAAAAAAAACCTCCATGACGATGCTTGTCCAGCGGGTTAATTCCTCGGCTTGCGCCATTCGTTTTAATTTAACCCGTCTTTGCAAAATAGGGATCATGATGCTTGCGGCAGTTCAGTCGATCATTTAACTTAACTTTATTTTGGTATTGCAACCGACAATTCCTATTTTTCACCACTTATTTTTGGTGCTCGTTTATTTGTGACTTCCATAACTCATTCAATTTTTGAATGGAAAATAAAGTTTCGCTTTTCCATAGTTGTAAGAAGGTTTGAGTTGGCATAATTCGGAATTAACTTGGCATTCCTTGGGTCGTTTCATTTTGTTTTCACTCTTTGAGGAGAGAGAAAGAACGAGTATTTGATATTTTTCGAATGATTCGAGAAATAATGGAGTTAGGATGATTTGGTCTTTTCTTCTTATTTTTTAATTTTATGTATTATTTTATTATTAAAATTTTTTTAATTTTGTTTATTCGAATGAAAAAACTCTAATTTGAGACCCATAATATCGTATCAAGCACCGATTGATGACTTCTAATGATAACGTACCATGTGAGATGAATAATAAACGATGTTCTAATAAAGGGCATGAAACAAAAAAATTTCAAAGAGTAAAGGATCTTAGTCAAGACTAACAAAAAAAAGATCTCAATAAAAAAATTCAAAAAATACGGAATCCAAATATAAGAAAAACCATATTGTGAAATAAAGAAACATTTGGGATGTGATTGATAAAATTTATATGTGAGAGATCCAATTGAAAATGAGTATGACAGTCTGAATAAAGGTTTACCCAAGAAAATTAAGGTTAGTTCACATAAAATGAAAGAAAGTGGGCAATTAGGGGTTTGACTTGAATTAGGGTAGGATTTCTCACCATTTTTAATTCAATTAAGGCTTAATACCCTCATTTATTTTTACACATTAGGTTAAGTTTCCAATTTGTTTTAAAATTTTAAAATATATTTATTATGTCTATGTTATTTAAATTGATTTTTAATTTATCATTTCGGTTGATTTTTCTAGCCAAATCACCTAAAAATATCACATGATCTCGCACAAACTTTTACTTTGATAAAAATGCCCCACTCGACCTAGCATTTTAAGTTTCTAATCTATCTATATATAATGGATTGAGTTTTCAATATGTCCTTAATGTTGAAAAATATATTATATTACTATTATCAATTTTTTTAATGATTTATTGTAAATTTTTGTTAATTAAAAATATATAGAAATAATTAGTATAGATTATAATGTAACTATTTAAAAAATAAGTACAAGCTATGAGTCTTAGTTGAAGCTAATAAGTTTTGAAGTTGTGAGCTAGTGGACTTTCTTATTAGGTCGTGTTGGAGAAAAACT